AAACATGTTTTAAGTTGACATTTTTATAGAAGCTTCTTAACCAGGCTTTCATAATAATAGTGTTTAGTCTTATGTGAAAACAGATTAATATTTATATCTACATTCTGTGCATATAAACCTAATCACAATGGAATTAAAGTTTGAATAGTGATTTTTATTTTTCTTTTGTGGAATACCAATTTATATAAAGCCTCACTCTGAAAACTTTGGCTACTGTGTTCCAGGTGCTATTCTGATTGGTTCTGTTGATTTGTATTTAATTTCTTAAAATGAAGTGTGCAGGATTGGGTCCTACAAAGACACTCAAAATGTTCTGTATAATGGACACGTTGCAAAACACCTGCTGTGACTCCTAAGGCATTTTGAAACTTTGTCTTCAATATTTAGTTTTCCTTCAGCTGATGCTGCTCCTCAAATATTTGAAGGATATAATTATTACTGAATTAGTAGAATTACACTTATTTTTTGATGTAGCTACTAACAAGAATCCTCTCCCTTGTCCTGTGCTTTATCTTAAGAAAGAGATGCACCTGCAAATCTAGAACACATCAGCTTTAATTAAATTGAATATTAAAAATTGAATTTATCCACTGGTCTTGTAATATTTTGTTAGTGGATGAGAGAGCTCTAACAGCTTTGGGGCTTTTTAAGTTACCAGGAAAAACGTAATACAGTAAAATCTCATTTTGTTTAAAAATGTCTATAAATGCATCCAGTTTTGTCTCACTAATTACCTTTATAAGCAATACTTGATCAGGATGCCACTTTTACAGGGCTACATCAGCCTCCTGGAAGACTGAACTGACCTTTTCAGTCAGTTGGACCTCACTTCACTAATGGGAACCCCCAAACATTTCTGCATATTTTTCCTATTTAAAAATAAACAGTCAAGAGCCAATGTGAACATAAAACTAATCAATAGGAAAATTTGCATCCAAGTTTGTTTTGATGAAGCACTGAACTATTTTATTTATTGAAACTGTATTAATGTAATTAAAATAAATGGAAAATGCACTCTTTACTTAATTAATATTTTAAGCTGTCTCTGAAGAATAGTATGCAGCTTGAATTTAGTTATCATTTTTAAACTGCAAGACAGATTAATTAGATTCAAATCTTAGCCAGAATGAAATAATTTTCTTAATAAAGCTAAGAGCTCTAGAATTTACTAGTAGAATGTGTCTGTTGTTGATCTTCAGAGATGAACATGAGAAGATAAGACATAAAACTCAATGGAGTATAGTGGTTAAAATTCTGCTAACTCTACTTTTAAATTATGGTCCTAGGTGTTAGTTTTATTTATAAGAATGGTGTAGTGTTTTCAAGACATGGGACTTCTGCCTCTTTCTTAATACATGTATTCCTAAAGTTAAAGTAATTTAAATGCAGGTGGTATAGGTAGTTAATATTTGGAAAAAATGTTTTGTTCATCAGAATGAAGGAAATTCAACTTTGATTTCAATATCCACATAAACAGAAAATCTATGGAAAATCCTCCACAGCATGTTTGGATCTGTATTTAATGAGCAAGGCTCCAAAGGATAACTCATAAACAAAACAACAAATGAGATTAAATGGTGTTTTAGTTTTATCATACATGCTTTAAAAGAATGAAAATCTATTTCATGCTGTGTATGGTGCATGCATTTGCAAAATGAAGAGGCTAAACTTAGAAGTGCAAACAGATCTGTAATCAGAAATTAAGGAAAATGGTCAGTGTGGTTTTCAGTGCCCAGTTATGAAGAACAGATTTTTGGGGAGTCCTGACAAACATTGGTGGTTCTCAGGCAAGAGTTTTGTTCTGTGCAAAATGGGAATATGTTTCAGCATCATTCTCACTGAAATTGCAAGATTTAGAATATTTTGAGTTTAGGCATAGTTCAGACACAGCTCTTGAATTCGGATGAATGTTAATGTGAATCTTCAAAATAGCAGTATTTTTAGATGCGCTAAACCCAAAGAAACTGTCTCAAAGTCATTTATACTTTCAATGTCAACTTTTTTTCTAAGAAAAAGACGTTAAACTTTCTAGAAATTTTATAATTAAATGCTGCTGATGACGGGGTTTTTTGTTTTCCCATTTTTTAATTAATTAAATCATATGAGAAAATTTATCAGTAAGTCAATTCACTGATATGTGACCAACAGTTCTATAGATGCTTTTAAAACAGATTTTAAATTTAAAATGAGTAAACAATTGAAAATTATTTCTTCTATCTCTCAACACCTTCTACATTTGTAATGAATAACACGTTAAACAATCTATGTTTAAATAATTTCTCCCTGTGACATAACCCTCACAAGTATCTATCATCACTTCAAAGGTCATATTTAGAATGGGATAAAAGTAATTAAAATTACATAAATGTGAAAAGTTTTTTAAATTTCACCACAAATTCTTCAAAATCTTACTGTTAAAAAAAATATATGTGTTTTAACAAGTATTTTGCTGTCTCTTGACACTTGGCCAGTCAAATTCATGTTGAACCCATTCAGCACCTGACAGTTCTGAAAAGATCCAATATTTTTCCAGGATATGTTAATGAATATATTTTTAAATACTAAATACAAACTACAAAGCTAATGGAAGTATTTATCAGTTTCAGACAGTTCATTAGAAGGATCAATATGCAAACACACGCATCCTTTTAATGAAATCACTTGGCGGGTTCATTTATCTTTCAACTTAAGGAATGCAGGTTAGTGAGGAGATTATGTATGCTCTGGTTTTTCCGGGGACAGGAGAATATCAGACGGAGAGGGTCCTCTCAGGATGACAAACTGACAGAGCAATGCTTTCAGACCAAGCACTACAAACGTGGCTAAGGAAATGTTTGGAGAAGCCAAATTTTTTTTAATCTGTGGGAACGTGAAGGATTTTGCATGAGCAGAAGCCAGGTGAGGAGTACTTCTCCTGCCTGGAAACCTTTTCAGAAACGGTGGTGGATGTAAAGAGCATCTTCCTTGCCCTGGGATGGGAAGGCTGGGTGTGGGGCTGTGAGTGGGGGGAGCCCATGGCAAAATCACTCTGCACTTTCTGGACACGGCAGAACGTTCCTGTACAGGGGATAGTGATGACATTTCTGTGCTGTCCTGCAAGTTTAAGTGAAGTGTCGCTCTGAGGCGAGGTGAGGATGCTCTGAGAACTCAGGCGTCCTTCCTTTGGCACCCCGCACAGATGCGTGTCCCTTTCCCTTACCCAGGTGCTGGCTACTGTGGGGTGCTGGCAGCATGAATACTCTGCAGAGGAAAAGGGGGCAAAGGAATTGCTACACGGCGCTAATGCGGTGTCCCTGGGACACCCGCGAAGAGCCAGGGCCGCTCGTTCCAGCCGGGAAGGCAAAACCCGCCGGGGCCGGGCAGGCGGCAGTGGCCGAGCCCCAGAAGGCTGCCAGGACAGCAGGGGTGTGGGGTAAGGGTGGCCATGCCATGCCATGCCGTGCTATGGCGTGCCATGCCATGCCGTGCCGTGCCGTGCCGTGCCGTGCCGTCCCTCACACTGCCTCCTCCGCTCCGTCCCGCCGCGGGGGTCGCTGCGGGTGGGGGTTCCTGCCGAGGGAGGTGTGTGCCGCTGCCCGGCTCGGGACAGCTCTGCCCGGCTCGGGACAGCTCTGCCCGGCTCGGGACAGCTCTGCCCGGGAGCAGCCGCCGCCCTCGGGCCGGGGCAGGCCGGGGCACAGGCGGCGTGGGGGCGGGACGGCTGGGGAGGAGAAGGGAAAGGGGAAAGGGAAGAGGAAGGGGAAAGGACTGCCCGCCTCCACGGACAGAGGAGAGCCGGCTCTGCCCTGCCTGCCGTCCCCAGCCGCAGTGACAGCGGGAAACAATGGGGACAGGGAAGCGGGAGGGCTGTCCATCGGCGGGGGAAGGGAGACCGAAGGGACCTGCCACCCGCGCCCGGCAGCCCCCCTGCCGCTCCCCGCCCGCTCCCGTCCCGCTCCCGCAGCCGGGGCGCTTCGTGGGCAGATGCTGGGGTTTAGGGAGGGGAGGGGGTGCACAGCGTGTTGCCAGCGGCATGCGGGAATTTGAGGAGCTGGGGAAGACTGCAGGGTCCGTTTCGTTACGAGGGTCGGTGTTGCCCCGGGCCCCTGGGCTCTGACTGGGAGTTACGGTGCGCGGCGCCGGGCCCGGCACGGCCCCGCTCGTCCGCGCCGGCTCCGAGCGGTGCCTCTCGCTATTTATCGGACTGGACTTCGTTACTGTCCCGGGGCTGGTCGGAACACACTCCTCCTTCCTAATTTCCTGTGTCATTTGGAGAACGAGGACGAGAGGGGGGAAAGTTTGGATCTTCTTTGCTTGGCAGTGTGTGGATTTTTTTTTTTTTTTTTTTCTTTTTGAGGAAAGTCTTTTCAGGAAGAAGCGTTGTGGGCTCCTTTGCTGTATTGTGATTCAAATGATTTGTAGCTTTTTCTTGCTGTCCTTATTGATTTTATTTTTGGCTTTCTGTCATTGTTCTACCCTCCACTTCCATCTTGCAAGACAGGCACCAAGAAAATAATAATAATAATTTTTAAAAAGCAAATAAAAAGAAAAAGATGGGGGAGGGTGCGCGTAAAAAATCAACCAAAAGAAAAAAAAAAAAAAAAAAAAAAAAAAAAAAAAAAAAAAAAAAAAAAAAAAAAAAAAAAAAAAAAAAAAAAAAACCAAAAAAAAAAACAACGCACATCCACAACAGAAACCCCAAACAGCTTCTCCAAATGAGTGACACAGCCCGTGTCCATTCATCGTCGCACTCCGGCGAAGGGTTTCTGCACAGCCCAGACCTCCTTAGCCAATTGCTGCCAGCAACATGTGGAGGGGAGGCATCGCTATAGCAACCGGTGGATGGGCCATGTGCGGCAGCCGGCAGGGGCTGCGAGCCGCCCGATATAAGGAGGGCAGCGCCGGGGCGCGCCGGCATCCTCCGCCCGCGCCCCGCGGGGACCACCGGGCCGCCCGGGGCCGCCGCCTGCCCCCGCCGCACCGCGCCGGGAGGCGGCCGCGGGCGGCGAGGGGCGACTGTGCTGGCCGCCGCCTTTGTCTGCGCTGAGGAGGGGCGGGGGGTGAGAGGGGGAAGTTTTGGCACCGGAGGAGGATTGCTAGAGCCCGCCGAGGTGCGCCGACCCCTCGCAGAGAGGGGCCCGTCCCGGCCCGCCGGCAGCAGGTACATGCGGCGGAGGAGGGGTGTGGGCAGCGCCCGCGTCTCTCGAGGCGGCCCGGCCGGCGCTCGGGAGAGCCTTGTGCGCGGCGTGGGCCGGGGGGCGGCCGGGACGGGGCAGCCGCAGCCGTGTCGGGGCCGGGCCGGGTCTCCGCGGAGCAGCGCGGGCGGGCGGAGGGCTCGCTTCGCCTCCGCGCGGCCGCCACAGCCCTGCGCGCCCCCGGCCGAGCGCAGCCCCGGGATGCTCCCGGCGCGGGGCCGTCGAACAGGCGCGGGGCGGAGGGGGCAGCGGGCACGGCGGGGCGAGGACGTGTTCCCGGCTCGGGACCCCGCGGTGGGTGCGGGCGTGCGGCCGCGGAGCCGCGTCCCCGGGCGGGGACGGCCGAGGGACCGGGCCCGGCTCCCTGCGAGACGGGGCGGCTGCTCCGCCGACGGATCTGCCGACGCCTGCCAGCGTAACCGAGAGCTGGCTCGTTTGCTGGCACTCGGCTGTAAGGGCGCCTTATCTAATCCCTGAATTATGTGCCTTCAGCATCAGCATTAGATCAGCGCTGGCGCTGCGGCTCGTGTTCCCCTTGCTAGCTGAAGACATTTGATTAAGCTCGGCAATCTCTGACCGTCCTCTTGGCTCGGGCTCTGACACTCTGTGACTTAGACCTGCCGAGTCCCTCTCTTTCACGGTTTTACTCCGGCTAACAAAGCCTGGGCTGCGGAGGAAAACCTGCTTCCTGGTGCACCCACTCTGCTGCTTTGCCCTATCTGCCCCCGAGTCCTTAGAGACGGGGATCGAAGTTTCTTCACCGTGGTTTCTTCACCGTCTCCGCGCTCTCTTCTTGCTGCCACCTCACAGGTGCACTGTGCGGCTTCGGACAGGATGGGCCACGCTCCTCCATCTCCGACTCACCTACCTCTTCCACAGACATGGATGTGGATGTCCGGTTTCCTGAGTTGTGCGTTATCCCTACACTGTCTCAGTGATGCTGTAGGCTTTTGTGCTTTACTCTTTACCTAACTGCTGACTTAAAAAAATACCCAGATGCTCATGAAAATCTTGAAGCTCATTGAATTTCCTCTTTCACAACCTTATCCTTTATCACCATGCCACAAACTTCTTCGGGGTGCTTGGACATTCCGGCATTTCGGTATTACCTTGTAGTGGGATTCAGAATAATAGCTCTAATGTCTTGTAACTCTAACCAGAAACTTCACTTATGTTTACCTTTAGGAAGCCAGAAGAAAATATCTACCATTGATCAAGGGATCTTTGAACTCGGTGAATTCTTGATTGTATTCAGTCATTGTTCATGGTATTAATCCTACTAAAAGGTATAGAGACGCTCCAGAGTGCTTTGTGGTGTTGAAGGTTGTGGAAAGATCATTGTACCCCTACAGATGAATAGATCTGTGGCTTTTGCAGTGACCTTTCTCAGTGATTTGAATTAAGCTGCAGTTCCCAGAAATCCATCTGCCTTTTGTGTTTGTCGATTTGTCTAATCTTTCCGACCCCTAAAAGAAGCAAAAAGTGCCTTCCCATCCGATTTCATCCTCCCGAGTAAAAGCATTAAATTGACCTCGTTTCAGGTGATGAACTGACATTTGCTGAAAGTGATCCTGGCATCAGGTGAGCTTTCTGGGGAGAGAAGGAGGGGGTGTGAACAGGGAGTCAGAAGGTAGCGGCCCTAGAAATCTCTCAGTAACTCTAAAGATAGTATTTAAAGCACCAACAAGTAGCCTGGACCAAGCAGCTTGGGAGTGCAGTGCTGAACACAAGGGGTGTTACATGCACAAAAGGTGAACATCCCCAGGCCCTGCTGCCCCTGCCTAACCTGACTGGGGGGCACAGCAGGGGAGGAGGCACAGCATCTACATCTGGGGGAGATGCTGCTTTCCCTTCTGTTTTGTTTTCTTACTTTATGAAAGGTAAAAATATCTTCTCTGTAGCTTTCCCGGGGACAGATTATGGTAGCCAGCCTCCTCCTGACGTAAAGTGCTTCTCTGGTTTTCTAGTAACCTATCAAAACTTAACCAGCAGAGTGTATCAACCTATACAAGTCTCAGATAACCCCTGAGAGAGGGAAATTACTAGAAGTGAACTTAAGTTTAGATTTATATAAATGAGCAGACATACACGGATGTGTGTATATATACATATGAACACACACACACACATTATATATATACACACCCACACACATCCCTTTCTTCATGCTTTCTATATAAGGACATAATATGCATATCCTTTATATTTTCATGTAATGTCAGTGGCTGCAACTGTTAACACAGGATATTCCTTAGAAAACAAACAAACAATGAACCAACACTTATTTTAGAGAAGTTTAATTTTAAGATTAATGGTTTTCTTGTAGAATTCTTTTTTTCTGCCTAGGTACTTTTTTCCCTCCTTGAATGGCATATTTGCAAGTACAATTTCATCTGCACAGAGGAACAATAGCTTTCAGTTGCACAAAGGATTTCTCCCACCCTGAATCCAAACCACAATGCCTCTTGCTCTGATAATAGCTTCTGAAAAGATTTTGTAATGCACAGAATTAATACATGATTATTTCCGCCTCACTTCTCTCATTTATTAGATTCTATAGTGAATTCCAAATTAAAAATAGCACTTCTTGAGTTTCTTAACGTTCTAATATTTTGAAACAATCATATTCTGAAGTTCCTCTTTTTGCCCATATTTACTAAGAAATCTTCAATTTTTCATTATTGTTCAGAAACAAAACTGTGTAATATAAATTTAAAAAAATGAAGCATGTGGAAATTGCAAAAAAAATGATAATGTTGAGTTGTTTAAAAATTAATTTCAGTGATTTTTCCATTGCTAACTGGAAGAGTGGTCAGGTGCAGTAACTGGCAAATTGGTTTTAAATATTTTTAAATTTATGAAGCAAAACAAAACCTCAACTTCAGTTAGAGTTTTGCAAGGACTAGAATCATGCCCTGTGTCCTAAAGTAAATAATGAAGTGTAATTCTGCTGAGGCATCTGGATGGTGAGCTTCCACATCACTTCATGGGGAGCTCCTCTCTGCTCTTACAAAGACTTTCTCCAACACTTCCAGCATAGGTGTGAGAACTTATTTACATGAAAGCGTACATTAAATATTTACTGACATTTGCCTGGGATTCGTTTGAAATGTCGACTGTTCTGCTGCATCATGGGATGACACCGCGGAACGGGACGCTGCTCTTTGATTAGAGCAGTGATTTGTGACTCCGGTGTTATGGCTGCTCTAGTTAATGACTCACTTTTGGGTGTATATAAAATGTGTTCTGTCGAGGGACCAGGAAAGCCTACATGAGATCAGACCCTAAGAATTTTCTTTCCTCTTAAAAAACCCACAGACCCACACAGAAACAGTGTACTTCAAGTAAACACTGGGTGTTAGGTGTGCTGTTGTTCTTTGCTTTCTTTGCATTTAAGCTAGGTCGGGCTGTTTCAAAGCAAGTAAAGGCTGGATGAACACCTCCAAAGCCTCTTCATTCAGATTCACTTTCTAAGCCATTCATTTAGGAATTAGTTATTTTCCTTCATTGGGACTTCATTGATAGTCCACACTTTTCGAAGGAGAAAATCATTCAGAGGAATGTCAATATATTCCGTTATGTGAAGTTTAAAAAATGCATACTTACATGTAGCTGAGTTTAATATTTAATTGCGTGTAATTTATGTGATCCATTTATTTGTTAAGCCTTGGGTGGGGAGGTAATTTGTTTTTCTTGTTATGCAATAGCTATTGTTCCTCTTCCACCCCAGGCACACGCACCATGGCACACGCACCACGGCAGCCCCAGCCAGCACAGGGAGAGGTGTTCTGCTTTAAAAGACATCCGACTGTAAATGTCAAATTCATAAATATTTAAACACTTTTCTTTCAATTTCAAGTCAAGGCTGACAGGACGCCTCTAATTAACCCTGGGCTCCGTTTCAGGCTGGGGCCTTATTGCAGGAAGAATCAGGGGGTTAGGCGAGGTGGGGAAATCTGTGCTCCTGGTTAGAGGCAGCGGGGGCGGCTGCGGGGAGAGGTGGGAGGACGGAGGGAGCTGGTAACTAACACGTCGGATTAATTTTTACCCGTTTCATAATGTGATGTTTGGTCAGGCATCGAGCAGGATGAAAGTGCAGCGGGTTCCTCCAGCTGCCGCGGGGACAGTGGGGGCTGTGTTCTGATGGGACGTACTTGGGGGACCGGGCCGGGCTACCCTCTGCCGTTCCCGGTGTCCCCAGCCCGGGGCTCGGGGACGCCGCGGATGCGCGGCCCGGAGCTGGAGCAGGAGGCGGGTGATGGGACCCTGCTCGGCCTCTCCCGGCGGTTCCTGCGGGACGGGGCAGGGGCCATCAGCCGCTGGTGGCTCCCTGGGCGGCGTGGGGCTGGCCGAGGTGGCCCGAAGCACCAGCCCGCCGCGGGCAGGGAGGGGAGAGCGGAGTCATCCGGGCCCCGACGGCAGCGGCTCCGGAGCTGCTCTGGAGCTGCTCCCCGTGAGGCGGGACGGAGGAAAGGAGCGGGAGAAGGGCCGGCGGCTCCGTGGCAGAGCCCCTCTGCCTTCCCCTTCGGCGGATCCGACGTGGCGGGCGCCGCCGGGCAGCGGGGAGCGGCCGGGCCCCTTGGCCCTTCGCCCCTTCCCTCCCGCCGCGGGGCCTCCATCTCCTCCCAGGGCACGGGGGTCGGGGCAGGCGTGGGCGCCGCTGCCCCTGGACGTGCAGGGGCTTTGTAAGCCCTCGCCCGTCCGAAGCCTGTCACCAGGGACGGGGCTACACAGATTCCCCCCAGGCAGATGCTTGCCGAGGTGTAAGCAATGCCGAACGCCCCACGGAAGGTTTCTAACTCTTCCCCGTGCTTCAGGCTGCCGAGTGCAGCTGTACGCTAGGAGTAGGTAGGGGGGTGGTCTTGGAGCAATTCTTTTGTCAAGGGCAGCCAGCTCCTGGGACGGCGGCCTCGGCTTTGCGGGGAAAACTGCCTGGCAAAGTTGGAAGCAACATCTAAAATAGCTCTAACTCCGGTGGGAGAAAGAGCCTGCCGCCCTTTCTCTTCTGCATGTTTACTCGGAGCTTTTGACAGCACTTTGCTCCCATCATTGTCATCGTTTCTCTCGCATAGCCCTTCCCCGTGTGCTTGGTGCGGCTCTGCCACACGGCATCCGGAGAAAAAAAGCAATCGTTTAAAACCGTGGTGGAGATAGCAGAGAAGTAAGGCTCAGGAGCAGTGTCCGAAACTGCCCGCCAGCCTCTTTCCTCCCGTCGGTGCCCCTGAGCACCGACGGCTGCCCGAGCCGCCCGATGAGCGGAGCTGGCCCGCGGGGGAGTCCGGGGGTGCGGGGCTTGTCCCTGCCTGGCTGATGGGGGCCAAACACCGCGGCGACAAGGACTAACGTCCCGGGGCGCAGCGCTTCGGCGGGAGCCGCCTATTGAGATGCAGATTGCGACCCTTGGCCCCGGGGGGACGGGGCCTTTCAGGGCGATGCTAACGGCAGTCGCAGCAGCCCTTCACCCCGCCGGGGACGAGCGGCGGGAGCAGCGGGACCGCGGCGGCGCCGTCGGTGCTGCCCCTCCCGTGTCCCCCGCCCGGCGCGGGACGGGGCCGCGCTCCCCCGGGGCAGCCGGGGCAGGTGCCCGGCGGGGGCGGTGGCGAGGAGGCGGCCCCGGATCCCCCCGCGGCCGGGGCGGGGTGGGGTGGGGGTGCAGCCCCCTCCCCCTGGTGGCTGTTGGGATTTGGAGGAGGGGCCGCTGCCGAGCAGGGGAGGGGAGGCGGCGGGCGCGGCGGTGGCTGCGCGGACGGCACACGGCCGGTGGCCGCGGCCAGCCCCGCGCCCGCCCCCCGCCGCCCCGCCGGGGCGCACGGACCGGCGATCCTCCTCCGCGCGGCGCATCCGGGCAAGAAAATCCGGGAGTCTGACTGAACCTGCATTTCCATTAACTCAGCCTCAGCCCCGGCTAATCCTCAGCACTGAAGGCAAGGAGGCTAATTAATGACAAGCTTTTACAGTCAAGACCAGCGATAATTGCTTTGGTGGCCTTTATGATTACAAGATAAAAATGGACCGGGCCTGACATAAGAGCCACTGTGTACACTGCAAGACAGGAGGAAATTAAGAGCTGGCTAGCTGAATACGGAGCAGAAAATTACTAATAGAGGAGAGATAATGAATAGGCCGGCTAGGCATTCATGGGGAAAAATCCATTTTGTTACCACGCGAAATTAGGTGGTGGAAAGGAGTTTGCTAATTGTTCTCGTCTTGTAGCAACCAGGACTGAGGCAGGGGCGTGCTTTTCAATTCATTTCCCTGGTAATTGTGAAAGGGGGAATGCAGGCCAAATGAGTCTTGCTGCAATTTGCGCGCCTGGTCTTTTCATTTTCATGTTGCGTTTTTAATTGTTGCTAATATAGGTTATAATGAAGCTAATGAGGGGAAATTATTGTACAACTTTTTAGCACATGGAGACAAGTGAAATGCACTAGAAGGATTCTCTCCTATTGCTGCAAAAATAATAGTAATCTGGAGGAGTTTGGAACTATCGGGGTTTTTTTTTAAGCCGCTTCCCTCTACAACAGACAAAAGGAAGGATCGCCACCTACTTTCTTTTTTTTCCCCCTGTGTTTTATTTTTCACTAAGAAAAAACCGGATTTTCCCTTGCTGCGCCCCTCGCAGCCCCTGGCTCTCGATGCGGTGCGAGCGGGGCGCGAAGCCGCGGGGCGCTCCGCGGGGCTTGCGCGCATCCAGCGGGTCCGCCTCCGCCTCTCGGTAGTTAACTGAGAGCCGGCGGAGGGGAGGGCACGGAGCGGGACCCGGCAGCAGCCCTGTCTCTTCCCCTCTGTTTGCCTCCCTCCCCGGCCGAAAGTTAGGGCTGCCGAGTGTTCCCCCCGACGGGATCCCCGCTCCGCGCTGCTCCGCGACCGCGCAACTCAGGCGCTGCCTCTCTCTCCTTCCCTGCAGAAAAGCAACGTCCCGCCGCTCGCGCAGCGCGGGGAAGAGGCGCAGTCCGCGAAATTCCTCCTCCTCACCCTCTTTTCCCTCGCCTGCATCGCCGGGGTCCTGGCGGCGTCGGGGGTCGCCTACTGCCTCCGCCACCGCGCCCACCACCGCCTGAAGGAGAAGCTCTCGGCCCTGGGGGCTGACGCCGGCTCCGATGCTCCCACTGCTTACCAGGTAAGGACCAAGCTCTCCTCCTCCGCTGCCCGGCAGACCCCCGGGGCCTTCTCGCCCTGGGAGTCGCGGGGGTGGGTTTGTTTCCGACTCTTCCCCCCCCGTTTCTATTCATAGTCCCGCGGATTCGGTGTAGCAGCTTTTTACTACTGGGTATTAATCTTGGCTATTCTGGTAGCTGCTGTAAATTTGTGCCTAATTAGAAACATTAAAAAAAAAAAAAAAAAAAAAAAAAATCCCAGCCCTTGCCATTGGAATTCTCAGAAAAATAGCATTAATATCCATAATCTGTCACCCCTGCCACTATTAATAACGGAAAATCTTTAGCATTTATGAGGAATGGATTGCACAGTTATCTGAAGATGTCTCTCTTTTTGAGTAATCGACTTCTTCAGGGTCTGATATGAAAAGAGCCTTTGACCCGATCTGTTGCCACCTTCTGCCATTATTCAGATAAAATGAAATCTAATGCTGATAGATGGGAGGTAAACCAGGACTGGTTCTAGGAGAACAATGATAGCAGATGTGTACCCAGTAATGCTGGAGGACTGCACTCAGCTTCTCGGAAATAAATCAGAAACCTCGAGCTTTCTCTTTCACTTTCAAAAGTGTTGGGTGGAGAGACACTGCATCTTCCTGAAGTTTGTTTTAGATGTTATGGCATGAATTTCTTGGTGTGCTATTGGTGTGGTAGTGCATGTGTTATGGTCCTATACCAGACAGCCCAGGTCTGCTATCCAAAAATATTTGGAGTGTAACCAGGAAAAAGAATCTGAGAATGTGTAAACATTGTCTCTGTAGTATCTCTGTCTGTTGTGCACCCACAGTGCCTCGCTAATGGCACTTTTTTGTCAAGTTTTACTTTACTTTCTTGTTCTGCTTAGGATCAGACATTCTGACCTTTCTGTATCCTGGAGCTGAGATAGATTCAAATTGGCAGCTGAGAGTATTATGGGAATAAACTCATATTTCCTCACAAAGTTTGGGTCTGTCTGTATCTCTTAGATGTTAAAGATGTAATGTATTAAGTATATCTCCACAGGCTGGGTCTAGAGAGAATTAAGTACAGAATAATAAATATGAATGTTACTGTAACAATTAGTATCTTCAGGAATCGTTTTAGTTTTCACTTTTAAAGAAATGTTTACTTTAAAAAAATTAAATTACATCTTTGCATTTAATGACTTCCAAAGCAAGACTAAGTGAGAACAAGAGCATTTCCTGAAGACAAAAAAAGGAAATGTTCTCTGGGATAAAGTGTGAACAAAACAGCAGTTTTATCAGTTTTGTTGGCCAATGAGACTGTGGCCATAAATATTTTTGTTTGATTTTAATAGGTGACTAGCTATTGGTTTATTTAAAGCACAGAAGCAATAGGTAGCCTTTTCTTCCGTTAATTGTGAATACAGGAATTCTTAATTTTTTTGAAAAGCCCTCCAGGTTCCAAAACCACACTTGAAACTGAATTTCTGATAATTAACAGGACAATCTTCCTACTGACAGCTCTAATTAATAGTATCTGTAATTAAAATCGTGCCCTTCCAGCAGGAAAATTGTTTGAATTTCTTGGAGTGACCTTTTTTGCCATTTCTCCTGGGAGTGTAGTGGTTGATATTGATTTTATAATGAGCTTGGTTTGTTTAATAAGAATCAGTAATCCAGACATTAAATGAAATATGTGCTTCCTTTTTTTCTTCACAGATTTATATATATTTTAAAATCTTCATATTTAGATCTGAGAATGTCATTTTTTGTTTTGAAAACAACAACAATGCTTCGAGGTTTCTGCTCAGTTTTTCAATAGCAAGGCTGTATTAATATTCTTTGTTCCTGACCTCTGGGCCTGCTCCTGACCACCTGACTTCTTAAACGGTTCCATTGGGTTTTCAGGAGAACTGCAGTCATGAGTGGGAGGAAAAATGTTTTTCCTTAAAAACAAAGGTTTCTAAGAGCTTGGCTCTTCACCCATGGAAGTAAATGGGAATTCTGCCATTTGTTTCAATGGCAGCAGTAGGAAGCCCTAGTATAGGCAGACAAAATGCTCAGGCAGTTTTGATGCTGCTAAGCAGCATTTTATCAAAATGAATCGCTGTGCTTGGGTCTGAACATAATAAACTATTCATGTGGATTTGAAGAGAAATAGGATTGAGCCCTATTCACATTGTCAGAATCACCTTATGTTGAGCTGTGTTAAGTGTAATGGATATCTGGTGTGATGCATGTTTTGGATAACATCAATTAGGTCTCAGAAGGGTATCTGCTATCTTTTTCCTCATCTTCTCTGGATACTTGTAGGGGAATAATGTAACCTGTATTAATATGGGGGTAGGAAAGAGGCAGGCAGCTTTCAAAACAGTTGGTTCTCATTTATGTTTCCCACATAGCCACTCAGTTAACTCAGTGTTTTTTAGAAATATGAAATATTTCAGGGGCTGCTACCACTAGGCTTTGAAGCATGGTACTCCAATGTGTTGCTGCTCACAGCTGACATGGCAATTCAGATTTTTTTTTTTTTTTTAATTTGAAGGGAGAGAAATTGGTTGGTATAAAAGTGCCTGGTGGCCCAATGTGATTCAGAGAGAACACAGAAATATCACTTCAATTCACATGCTTCTCAAAATGTCAGTTGTTTATATCTTCACATAAACAAGACTGACCTAAATTTTCAGCATTTAGTAGAAGCATTTTTCATCCTAACCCAGTTCAGCCAGGAGAGTTCATTCAGGGTTTTACTCCTTCCTTATCCTGTGAACTCGGAAGAGTTTTTTCCCATGGCTGTTTTTTGGCGGGACTTGGGGTTTTTTTCCTCCCATTTGTGCAATGAAATGCCATCTTGAGAAGGGGGAAGCAGACAAACCATATTATCAGAGAAATAACAGGTTGGCTGCTAAGTCTCCCCCCATACTGGAGGCGTAGCACTTGTCATGTAGCATCACCCTCCCTCAGGCACGAGCACTCCTCACACTTAGCTACTAACACAAGTATTTCTTGTGCAACTGTGTGAAGAAGGCAGGACAACCTGTACTGGGTAAAAGTTGAAGCAGGCAGATTGAATTGCTGCAGTGCAGGATAAGCTGCCAAACCTGGTTATTCAGGTGTTGGGGTGAGGCAAGCAGCTGGCCCTCCAAGTGTTGAAGTAGGGAAAACCTACTGAAAGACTAAGTAACAGGAGGAAGGATAGCTACACAATTGAAACTTCATTTATCTTTGACTCTACTAAACAACAAAATTACAGGCTGGTTTATTTAGACAGTAGCTGAGGAGCTTTTCAAAATTAATGGAAACAGTGTGTCTCATAAAATGTTACGTTTTAGCCAAAAAGGCGGACAGTTTTGGTGTCTCTCACAAACACATCTCCTGTCCTTTCAAACCACACGTGGAATGATTAGATAAGTCAGCCTTAGCATTCAGGGATGACTAAAAAGAGGCTCTTGGTGCCTCCGCGGAGCCCCGGCGCATGCGCGCACCTGCACCCCTGCTTTTAATTGTTGCTGGCATTGCTTTGATCTTCTTTGAAAAGCAAGTTTAGCATTCTGCAAGCCCACTCTCTGGTCCAGGAGATTAGGGCAGAAGCGTTTTAGGAATTTTCTGCAGACACTCTTTGATTTATTTCACAACACTGAGCAGATTTTCTTCATGCACTTTGAAGACTTTGGAACATAACCCAGAGAAAAACGGGCACTCAGGCATCAGGAGCAGGCAGCAAACAGGGCCACTAAGTGCACATCTTACTTGTCACTGCTCCCATTAGTGAGCAATTTATTAATGTAATGAGTGTGTGGTAGTGACTGCTATGATTTAGGGATGCTCTGTTTGATTCAGGGTGATGTATTTGTGAGTCCAGCTGAACCCTGGCTTTTGACCCCTGTGTGGGGAACGCTGGCGTGTGCATGCTAAATCATCAGCATATTTTATACTTTGCACTGCAGAACTTTCCTATGAGCACGGTCTTCTGCATCACTGATAATGCTCAGCAAAACCTTGCCCATAATGGAATTAAAAGGCAAAAGTTAAAATGCTCTGAAGCTGGCTTCAGCAAGCTTGCCTTTTAATATTTTATGTCAATAACATTCTTTTTAATTTTCCTTCATCTCAGACAAAAGAACTTCCTTTGAAAAGTGAGGAGGAAAAGACCAAACAGTTTACAATGAAGTTCTTTCTTAAACTGCCTGAAGTATTCAAGGTTACATGCAGATGGATTACATCATCAGCTGTTTTAAAAACTTGTCCAATTAACTTGATTTGTCAGGCATATAATTGTAAATTATATGTTAAATTCTACATTATTACATGTATTGTATTATGTATAAATTATATATTCCTTTGTCAAATACAGTCTTATTAATTACATGATCTTGCTGGATTCAAAGCCCCTAAGAACTTCTCCGTGCTCTTACTGATTTGAACCTGCTGGTATTTTTTATTAGAGATGTTAAGAACACACTCTTTGCAACAATTACAATAAATATTTTGCTGCAAATATTTTAAAAGACTCCAACTGAATCTGCTGGAAACAAACACTCTACTTAACCATCATGCATGGGTTGTGTGTTTAAATACAGATAACTCATTACCTCTAATATGGCTTAATATTTTACACTCTAGATTGAATTTCAAAAGCAAACTTGTTATTATAATATTAGACCTTAATGTTATAGTAATACTGTATGTCAACTCCTTAGAAATTTTGTGGACTAAGTGAAAACAGGGGGTGGGGAAAAGGAAAATTTTGCTGTTCGTATTTATCAAGTTCTCAGTAATATTTCAGCCTTACTACCAAGGGAAACTGGTAAACTGGGGATAATGTGTACCATAAAGTATTACCTTCTACCTTTATAAAACTTAATTTTAAAGGACCCTCCTACACTTAAGCACAAAAGATATCACTGAGAATGAAGTTATTCAGTACATGAGTATTTAGTAAACATTTCAGAAGGAATAAATTTTTTAAGGATTTTGGATAGATGAAAATTTTGCCTTAAGGCAGAATGCTGTGAAGGGCT